GGTTCGCGCACCGGCCAAGTACTGTGTTTTAATTCTACTCCTAATTAATTGTTTGACAAGGTTTATTTCAGCAAACTCCACAAATTCTTTACAGGTGTAAGGCTTGTAAAATTCCAACCACACAAAATAAAACCTTACAAATCTTTCGGAAATAAGCCTTTGTGCCATATTGGATGAACAAGAGGGACCACATCAAATGTTCAACTGAATATAGTTGAGGCACCCTTCAACCCTTTGATGGTGTTACCGTTGGGTAAAAAAAAAAACCTTCCCATCACATGGTGCAGTCAGGATTAGGGGGGGGGATTTCAGTTTACCAAAGATCCCTAAAATGCCACCAAGTTGGGAAGGCCTAAGTTGGGAAAAATCCAAGAGGTAAATTTTATTCTGTTCTGAAAAATCTCCCATATTAATCCCATGATGAGAATAATGAATTTTCCTCAATGAGAGATATTTTTTTCATGCAAAATTTTCTGCAGGATTAGAAAAATATCAGACTTTTTCTTGATTGAGGCCTCCAAACAAATAGTATTTTTTCTATATTTGCAGTAATCATGAGCATACAATTTGGTAAACATATCCCAACTTTCCCACAAAAGGGTAATAAAGCAAAATTACATTTTTTCTGCATTCCTGAGAAAAGAGCAAAGCAGATATAAAAATATGATTAATCTATACTTCGAATATCCTAAGTTAATTTTTCAAGAATGTCTTGCTAGGAAAACAAAACACAGGAGTAAATTTCAACATTCATTGATTAATAATGGAGTACTGTATAAAATTCTAAAGCAATATAAAAAAGCGCAGTTCAGATTTCATTTTCAAGCTGTATGATGCATAAATTATAGCTAGGTAGTGGAGTGGTAAAACATGTTCACCAAAGATTCATGCTAGAATTGGCATGGCTCAAATATACTTAAATGTGTTGACCCTTTGAAGTGTTTAAAATACCCTACTACTATATGTAGTCAAATTTTCTTCCGCTATATTCACAATTTTCTGTCTTGAATATGCTCCAAAATGCTTCATTGTGATAAAGACTTTTTTCCTCTATTTTCCAACACTTTTTAAATTGAACCTTGCCTTAAACCACGACAGGAATAATCAAATAAAAATTAAAACTAAACTGTACTAAAGATGCCTAATTCACTCTTGAATAACAATTTCCTCTTACCTTTCAGTAATTTTCTGTTAATTTTTAAATATATTTCGCTTAGATACTGTATATAAGTCCTCAAAAGTTGGTTGCAAAAAGATTCTACTTCATTTGTTTGGGGATCACCATGGGTAATTCTGAAAGTAGTTTCTCTTTCCAACATATTCAGGTTATTAGCTCAAGAAGAAAAAGTTGTCCTATTCTTAGTATTTTTCTTCACATGAATGTTTCAGCATTTTACCTCACAAATTAAAATGATGTGTATAGTCTCATTGAAATGCAGCAAACCAGCCAATTTGAATTGAATATACAGTGAGACCCCCACATATGTAGAGACCTGAACATGCATAAATTTTTTGCCATTGCTGACATCATTTCCCCATACATTTAGCTAATTTTGAAAAATTACCACTGGGAATGAGGGGTTTCCATTTATCTTTTTGTCTTCAATGTTTTTTCTTCACAGAATGCCACCATTTCAATTTACAGAGGTAAATTATTTTTTATCAAGGTATTTTTTCCTGCAGTCATTTTCAGTGTGTCATGTGAAATGAGTTGATTTGTCTTTTTTTGTTTAGAAATGCCTTGTTTTTTTCTGACTACATTCTGATCAATCATGCACAAGCTCATGGATAATAACTACATAATTACCCAGATTATTTTCATAAACATCAGTGTTCAGAAGGCATAAGCTCTGATGCTGGTGATTATCCTGATGTATTATTTAGTCACTGTCTCCTCATGTAATTCTGATGAATATTTCTATTCAGAACACATAAATTAAAAATTAAATAATATAAGTCAAACTGTCAAAGGGAAAGCAAGACTCAACTTTGAGACTTTTTGACATTGGGACACTCTTGTTGGACTGATTATGTCCACATCTTGTGGTCCCAATGTATGCAGTAATGTACATCTGCACCATATATATGGTTCTCTTTATTCCAAAGCTCATGGCACAGAACTGCCAATTTCTCCATCACATCAACAATCACCTTGTCAGTATTCTCTGTCATAAATAATCCAATGAATGATGGTTTATACAGTACAATAAAGCAACAAAGGAGGTACAATACAATCCCTAACTTTGAGATGCGCATATATATCCATATGGAATACAGTGGGACCCTGAAATATAGACACATCAACATGCAGATGATTTGACTTAGGGACACTGGCAATTGGAAAACTCTGCCCCAACATCCAGAAAGAGTGACTTAAGATATGATGAGCACTTTTCCAAGATTTTAAAAATGTTTCCCCAAATTTCGCATTTCTTAAAGAAATTGACTTATTTATTTTGAAAAATATTGAGCATAAAGTTTATTAAAAAATTAGTCCAATTTATAATTTAAAAAGGCTAACTTTGGGCTTCTTTTTTCAGGTTTTTTCTATGATGTGTGCTAAGTAAAGCAAATTTTTTTTCTTGTCCTTTGTTTCTTGAGCTTCTTCTGGTGTTAAAAGATGAGATTCAGCTTGGTTCTCTTCTGCGCATTTATTTTCTGCTTCATCTTGAAAAGAATATTTAGTTCAATTTTCTGAAGGATTTTTTGAGAACTATTTGTCTAAAGGAGAACCAATGAGAAAAATTTACAATGAAGTCTTTGGGAAACAGGTGGACTTGTCGCAAATATTTCAATGGGTATATTAAATTTGATACGCTAGCTTTAGAGAACCCAAATTCCCCAGCAAATTTAGTCTTTCATTTTATCTGTGTGGGAATCTTGGAAGACCTTGGTTCCCACAGATGTTTGGCAGCCTCCAAGGCTGTATTTTATTACCAAGTTCCTGTTGCTGTTTTTTGTCCTTGAAGGACAGTTTTTCTCGATTTCCAAACTTGTCTATTTTATTACAGTCCAAATCAAACCTTTGTGTGAGAACGTTCTCCAAGATTCTCTGAGCCTTTACTGTGTTTTTCAAATTATACCAACCTTAAAATAGGGTGTTTAGCACCCTGGTCGTAGCCCGACCAAATTATCATGTTTCATTTCGAATTTCCTTTCTAAAATTTCAATCTAAATTCAAACCTTTTCTTTGATGGGATTTATTCCCAACAGGACTTTCCAATTCAGGTACAAGGTCCATGCACCAATTATGTCCACATCTGGGGGTCCCACAGTATATATACAAGCAGACATTCAAATTAACACAGCCTATCATCCTTCTCATCCTCCAGCCTTGCTTCCATCATCAGCTCAAACCCAGTTTTGATCCTGTACTCTGGTGAGTTCTTCCTCCCAAGGCATCGCACTCGGAAACACACCAGGACATAGAGCAGAATGAGAAGTGTCATGGCAACTGTCAGCTCGAAGGAGACCACGGAAATGACCATCATGAATTTCTCGTGGAACATCTTGTCCTTGTAGCCTGGCAAAATGACTGGCAGCACTTTGAGAATGACAGCCATGCTGGCCCACCAAGTGCCCAGCAGGAAGATGAAGAGTGCTGATGACATGGCCAACAAGATGCTTTGGGGACAGGCAACCAAAGCTATATTCGAGAGGATCCCAGCAAGTCCGAAGTAAATGAGATTGATGTGTACCTTCAGCATGTGGAGAAAATGGGAGATGAATTGTTTTAATTCAATACAGGAATTTTTGATAATGAAGTCTTTAGGATATCCTTGAAAAATGAATATTGAACCTCTTCATAAGTTAAACTACAAGTAACTATACACTCAAGTTAAGATTGAGATGGGAATAATTTTCAGATTGTTTTCCTAAATAAACATTTTAAATTGCAGAATAAAAGATAGAAAGGGATTCTTTTGCATCTCCTGGCAGTTGCAAAGAAATATGAGGGCCAATTTTTAATGGAAGGTTCATAAAACTATTATAAATTTAGAAGATTGATACCTCTTGAATATATTGAGCTACTATCAGGAAGACAATGGAAAATTGCATTTTGGATGTACTCTGGTTAAATTCTTGAAAATGTCACTTGTTGCAGTTCTCTTGTCAGGAACTCAGGATGTTCTTTCATCTTCTTGGCAGAGTTTAGTCGAGTCTTTTTGTTTCAATTTGGAATGCCTTTCATCCCAAAAGGACAGAGTTCTGTATGATTTTTGACTCCACTGTTTTTTTTCTGCAATTTTTAAGTGAAGAAAAATATTTTTTGAAATCTATTTGTTACATGTTCCAATTTTTCCAGAGGTGAAAGGCAATCAAAATGTTTCAAATGATGTTCATGTGAAAATTTACTCCACTGTGTATGATTACATTCTGACATATGGGTATCTGAATAATGCTTACAGGTGGATTTTGGGTGCAAACAGCAAACATTTTCACTAGACAGAATTGCAATCCATATTGAGAACATTGGCAAAAATAATTTTGAATAGATAATTTTTTTTGAGACGAAATTCACAGAATCCACCTTCGCATTCTGTCTCCAGTCCTCCTCTTGAATAAATTATTATTGAAAGTTATGTTGTCATATTCCAATTGAGTGAAATGATCTTGAAATACTCCCAACAGGCATCAAATATACAGTCAACATTTTCAAAAGAAGATTATGCATGCACAAAAGCAGGATGGAATTATTTTGGACTTGATGTCATCATTCGACCTGTCAAAATTGACAGAAAATATGAAGGCGGGTGTCCTTCATAGGCAGGCATCCATTTTTCGAAAACTTCATCAAAAGTTCATGTGTGCATTTTCATGAATATCAGAGAGTTATAATAAAAATTTTGAATTAAAACATAAGAATATCTTTGGGCTACAACAAATAGGAAACTTTGAGTAAAATTAATACCTTTTTATAAAGTTGGTCTTATTTCCTCAGAACAAAGAAGTTTTGAGATATTCAGGTTTTCTCACAAAATTTGACTACGTAAGAGCTCTTGTTTATGTTACCAGGTTCAAAAAATAAGCGTCCATAAACAAGGAGGAAATGGTTTCAGAAACCATTTCAGGAACAATTTAATATCTGTTTCCAACTGCTGCTTCTAGTTTTTAAAGATACAAGTTATGCAACCGTTGGTTGTATACAGTTTATGTTTCTTGTGAGAGTTGGGATGAATCCCATTTTGCATAGGAGCTTCCGAGGACAAGTTGTGGCAGAGACTGACACTTTTATCCTCGATCCGTGCTAGCAGAACAAATGTAATGCTGTTCATTGCTTTGAGAGCTCAAGTGTTGGGAGACAAGCAGAGCTTGATAAATTACCTTCTTTCACAGAAAGACTGACTAAATTCTTGACATGATGTATAACTTGATTCTGATGGAACATTTTAGTTCGATCAATTTCAACAGTGAAGCATATTATGATGAAACATTTGAAAAGTAGTAAAATCCAGTTCCAAATTGTGTCAAATTTTAAATTTGGCTGCTGTCATATTTGAAAGGTTGCCACTTTAGAGTCAAATAAAATTAGGGTGGACATCTAGCTCAAGGCTATGATTTTGTGAACTTTCTAGCCTGGCACAAACTCTGTGCCTCTCTTACTCAGCAAGGATAACTGGGACTCAAGTAAATGCTAAATTCAAATTTTCAAGATGTTACCCACCTGAAGATACAATCCACTGAAGCCATGCAAATGTCGATATTGGAGGAAGAGTGTGTTGCAGTGGGCCAGACACAAAGCAGCATGAGCAGCATGTTTTGGCAATGGNCCCGACCAAATTATCATGTTTCATTTCGAATTTCCTTTCTAAAATTTCAATCTAAATTCAAACCTTTTCTTTGATGGGATTTATTCCCAACAGGACTTTCCAATTCAGGTACAAGGTCCATGCACCAATTATGTCCACATCTGGGGGTCCCACAGTATATATACAAGCAGACATTCAAATTAACACAGCCTATCATCCTTCTCATCCTCCAGCCTTGCTTCCATCATCAGCTCAAACCCAGTTTTGATCCTGTACTCTGGTGAGTTCTTCCTCCCAAGGCATCGCACTCGGAAACACACCAGGACATAGAGCAGAATGAGAAGTGTCATGGCAACTGTCAGCTCGAAGGAGACCACGGAAATGACCATCATGAATTTCTCGTGGAACATCTTGTCCTTGTAGCCTGGCAAAATGACTGGCAGCACTTTGAGAATGACAGCCATGCTGGCCCACCAAGTGCCCAGCAGGAAGATGAAGAGTGCTGATGACATGGCCAACAAGATGCTTTGGGGACAGGCAACCAAAGCTATATTCGAGAGGATCCCAGCAAGTCCGAAGTAAATGAGATTGATGTGTACCTTCAGCATGTGGAGAAAATGGGAGATGAATTGTTTTAATTCAATACAGGAATTTTTGATAATGAAGTCTTTAGGATATCCTTGAAAAATGAATATTGAGCCTCTTCATAAGTTAAACTACAAGTAACTATACACTCAAGTTAAGATTGAGATGGGAATAATTTTCAGATTGTTTTCCTAAATGAACGTTTTAAATTGCAGAATGAGAGATGGAAAGGGATTATTTTGCATCTGCTGGCAGTTGCAAAGAAATCTGTGGGTCAGCAGTTTTCAATGGAGGGTTCAAAAAACCATTATAATTTTAAAAGATTGATATACTGTATCTTGAACATATTGAGCTACTATCAAGAGGACAGTGGAAAATTGCCTTTTAAATCTACTCTGGTTAATTTTTTTGAAAATTTCATTTGCTGCATTTCTCTTGTCAGAATGTACTTTCATCTTTTGGGCAGACCTTACTCAAGTCTTGTTGTTTCAATTTCAAATGCCTTTCATCCCAAAAGGACAGAGTTCTGTATGATATTTTTACTCCACTTTTTTTATTCCGCAATTTCAAGTGAAGAAAATATTTTTTGCCATCTATTGGTGGCATGTTTCCGTTTTTCCCGAGATGAAAGGCAATCAAATTTTTTTCAATTGATGTTTATGTGAAAATTTGCTCCACTGTGCATGATCACATTCTGACACATGGACCTGCAAGGTCTAAATAATGCTTCCAGGTGGAGTTTGTGTGCAAACAGGAAACATTTTCACTAGACAGAATTTCAATCCAGAGAATCCCTAGAATATAGCCCCGTATTCTAGGGATTCTCTGGATTGAAATTGACAACCTTGCAAAAAAAAATTTGTATGGATAACTTTTTTTTTTTACAAAATTTAAAGAATCCACCTTTGCATTCAGTCTCCAGCCTTCCTCTTGAATAAATTATTATTAAAAGTTATGTTTTCATATTACAATTGAGAGAAAAGATCAGGAAATATTCCCAACATGCATCAAATATACAGTCAACATATTCAAACGAAGCTTATGCACGCACAAAAGCAGGATGAAATTATTTTTGACTTGATGCCATCATTTGACCAGTCAAAATTGACAGAAAATATGAAGGTTGGTGTCCTTTAAAGGCAGGCATACGTTTTTCAAATACTTTATCAAAAAGGTCATGTGTGCATTGTCAAGAATATATGAAAGGTATAATAAAAATTTTGAATTAAAACATTATAATTTGTTTTGGCTACAACCAATAGGAAACTTTGGCTAAAGTTAACACCTTATTTTGAAGTTAGTCTTATTTTCTCAGAAGAAAGAAGTTTTGAAAAGTTTAGGTTTCCTCACAAAATTTGAGTACTGGAGAGCTCTTATTGTTATTTATACCAGGGTGAAAAGAAAATAAGTGTCCATTAATAAGGAGGAAAAAGTTTCAGAAACCATTTCAGGAAATATTCAATATATTTTTCCAACTGCTGTTTCAAGTTTCAAAAGATAGAAGCTATACAACCATTGGTTGTATACAGTTTATGTTTCTTATGAGATTTGGGATGAATCCAAATTTAAATTGGAGCTTCCAAGGACACGTTTTGGCAGAGACTGAAACTGTCATCCTCACTTTATACTTGGCAGAACAGATTTAATGCTGTCCATCACTTTGAGAGCTCAAGTTTTGGTAGACAAGCAGAACTTGAAAAATTATCTTCTTTCACAGAAAGACTGACTAAATTCTTAACATGATGTATTACTTGATTCTGATGGGACATTTTAATTTTACTAATTTCAACAGTGAAGCATATTATGAAAAAAACATTGAAAAGTAGTTGAATTCAGGTCCAAATTTTGTCAAATTTTAAATTTGGCTACTGTCATATTTGAAATGTTGCCTCTTTAGATTCACTGGAAATTTGGGTGGACATCTAGCTCAAGGCTATAATTTTATTAGCTTTCTAGACTGACACAAACTCTGTGCCTCTCTTACTCAGCAAGGATAACTGGGACTCAAGTAAATGCTAAATTTAAATTTTCAAGATGTTACCCACCTGAAGATACAATCCACTGAAGCCATGCAAATGTCGATATTGGAGGAAGAGTGTGTTGCAGTGGGCCAGACACAAAGCAGCATGAGCAGCATGTTTTGGCAATGGAAGCCTGGTGTGTACTTGGATGTTGTCAATCAGGAACATAAGCAAATATCCATAGTACATGTCTGTGTGTGGATTTGACAGTGGGTTGTTGCCAAGATTTCCAGATTGCACTAGAACATGAGAGCGATTCATTGGTGGCAGATGGAAATCCCTAATTCCATCAGTTATGAAATACAGTAGACCCCCACACAATGGACCTCCCATGCAACAGGGTTTTGCACAAAAGACTGCCTCTGGAGGCAGTTTTCTCTCCTGTGCAATGATTTAAATGTGCATAATGGACTTCTTTTGGTTTAAAATTAATGACAAAAAGTAGGAGTGTTTCATTTTTTATAATTGAATTTTCACAACAAACTTTTTGTTTAACAAACTAGTCTGTTGCATGAATTAAGTTCATTGTGCAGTGGTTGACTGTAATGCATAATGTGATCTGCATATTTTGCAACATCTTACTGACTTCATATGCGACAAAAGCAGTTCCATATTCACTACACACAAAACTACTGTATGCTAAAAAATGACATTTTTCCTGGTAACTGGAGTTGAAACATTTTCAAAGATCAGCTATTTTTTCTGACTAACTCTTAGAAGATTTATAACTACAATTTTGTGGTAAACAGGCCATGAAAGCTTTGAAAGTGCTTCAACAGTAGATACAATAACTCAATCAGTCAAGGGAAAATTTGCAATGTAAGATTCTCTTCTTTCATTGAACACTCCCCTGCTTCACTAGCATTTATCTTACTACAACACAGACTTGAAAACAATCATAGGAAAACTACTTATACAGATCTCACTAAAACATGAACTTGAGCAGAAATGGGCAATGAAAGCACTTTAATATGTACTCAAAAATTTTAGTACATGTTCCATGAAGTGGATCAATTTTCTTTGAAAAAGCCATTTATAGATTTTTCAATGAAGCTCTAGAATGAGGCTCATTTGTTTCAGAAATTTTAAGATTTTTATGAAAAGCTTTGACTTTTTATCAACTTTTAATGCTGCGCAAGTTGGAATTTCCTATTTTCTATCCAATATCAAAAATTTCAATGGTTCAAGCCCATATTCATCTACTGCTTCTTATTATATGGAATAAAAAATGTACAGATGGTGATTCCAGGAATCTGAATTTGTGACTGTGTTTCAGTTTTCCCAGAAAATTGAAAAAAAACAATTTCACACTTTTTCTTCTCCCCTTCAGTCAATAAATGACTGGTGCATTTCGAAATGCTGTAAAAGCTTTTCATTCCTTGATGACATGTCAAATTCAATTCCAAAGGAACTGAAAAAATGCTCAATAATTCTGATGAATAGGAAGATATCCTGATACAGGTACATATTCACGCAAATATAAAAGTACCACACAGATTCCCAGATTATGAGCTGCTAAAATTAAAAAAGAGGGCTTAAATTGGCATAAATACAGCACTTGGAGGTTTAATTTCGATCTTTCATCAATCCCCTTCTGTATTACACACAAACAGCATATATAGGATCCTATATATTGTTATCCTACAAACGAGTTTGACACTTTAGACTTAGTTTATTTTATGGTTATGTCTTCCTCTTCTAGATACGAATAATAGCACAAGAAGTTTCCCACAAAATTCTCTCTCTTCTTGTTTTGGTTTGCCAACTTTTGCGCTGTCCCCATTAATGTGCAAGACCTATATTCTTTGAGAATACGCTCTTATACTATTTTCCTGCTGACAGTGACAGATGTAAATTACTGTTTCCTGGAGCCTAGTTCTCTTCAATAATATACTTTGTGCTGGTTCCCGAGAACTCATCAGCATCTTAACATCAAGACCCGGATACGCTTTCTAGCTCTGAAAATATTTCATGAGCTAATTCCCCGAATGTATATATATCACTGGAATTCCTATTATTCCGCAGAATACTTCCAGAGAGAATCAACTTGACAACTCTTGCAATTGTTGTTCTCAAGAAGACTTGCATTGTTTTAGCAAGACTTCTTTAACTTAGTTTATCTTGACTGTATTGCGTGTATTGTGCGTGTGTTGTGATTTATTGAGACCAAAGAATATATTTAGTCATAAATATTTTTATACATATATTTGGAGTATATTTATTTCCTTGCAACCAATCAAATACATTAGCAGTTAAGATAACAATATATATATACAACAATCTTATTCACAACAATTTTCTCTGCAAAAAATTATCTGTTGTCCTTCAAATTTCTGTACACATGTTGAAGAGATTACGTGTAGCAGTATTCTCTCAATAAATATTTTTCTTTGTTGTTCCTTTGAATTTTGGTGTACAGAATATGGAAGCATGTAATTTGGCATTGGACAAACAGCCAAGCCTCACTCCACCATGAAATGGTAGGATGATGTCCACAGTACTTTCCACGGTGTATACAGGTGGACTCTGTCTACAGCAAAATCTACACTACAATCCATATTTTCCGGTCCCTTGAAGTTTGATTTTGGCGATCTGAGACTGCTGAGAAAATGGGTACCAGTACCAGCAGCACCTCATCAACCACTGGTAGGATGATGCCCCTATTATTTGCCAATAAGTTGTACAGTACTTCAGCAGGTGACTCTTGGTACAAAAAAAAATCAAGGCACAAGAAAACATTTGTTGAAGAAAGAGTATTGTTGTAGAGAATCCATGCACCTGTTACTTGTTTCTGGTCCCTGCTTGAATTTCATTGCTGACTTTGGGAATGGAGATAAAATGTAAATGCAGGCAACCCTCACTTTAGTGCCCCCAATTTAGCGCCACCCTTGCTTAGTGCCCCAAATTTCACCTGAACAAATCTTCCTCTATTGCATTCCTAAGGGAAACCCCAATTCATTGCCAAGCTGCCAACTCACTTAGTGCCACATAAAATCTCTTGCCAAAGCTGAAAAATTGGAAGAAATCCAGGGGATTTTTGGCTCTTTCAGATTCCCAACACATTTCTTTTGGGAATCACAGGTAAGCAGATACAAATTTGAATATTTATGCACAAAATATTTTAAAACCCACATTTTGACACCTTTCTTAGAATATTTTACTGATCAAATGACATTGTTTTCGGAAGAACTTTGTGATTATTTCCTCTGCCATGAGAAAGAAACTTGATGCAATTTAAAGACATTTCAGAGCATAAAAATTTGCAGAGCAAAATTGAATCAAATGGGCATTGTAAAAGGGTACGGTGAGCAACAATGGACAATGTTCTTATGCCCTTTTTAATTTTGGCATTAAGATGCTCTTCCATAATTGCTGGAGACTTTTTATTTGTATTGAGTTGATTAGCTCTTATGCTTCTCTCCCATCATCTATTCAGCATTTGCCATTGAAACTTGGCAACTTTTTAAAGGATGTAAACCAGGAAAATTGTTTCTAGGACAGAAATGGAAGGGGTAAGATAACAATTTTTTCTCTATTTGAGCCAAGAGGAAAGCTAGAAATTTCTGTTCATGCCCATGATGTTTCAGGCTAGCCTTTCACATGATTAATAAATTGAGGGATTCTTTTTAGTTGCTCTTGTATGTTTCACATAATGGCATGAAAAAATTACTGGCAGCATATTTCAAAACTTCATCCAATTGAACAAGCTGTGCAACAAGAGATGTCAGACATTTCAAATGGCAAGAATTTTTGGAAGGCACCTGAAAGCTGGAGAATTTAACTGGCATTTTGTGACATGAATGATATCCTCAAAAGAATTGAAAATCTGGAGCTCTTCGTCAAATCTGCGTTCCTTGAAAAAATTCCAAATTTTCCTGCTATCACTACTATTGAATCAAAATGAAAGGTAAGTGTTGATACCAATGCTCCTTGTGAAATGGAAATAATAATAAAAAACAAATTGTAAGCTTTATTCAAATGCTTTCACTCTTGGATTGTAGCGGGTTCCTGACAATTCTGCAGGAAAGTCAGGATTTTGGGGGAGGGGGAGGGGGATTTCAGTTTCACAAAAGGTCACTATGAAATGCCCCCAGATTTCCAGGGTCAAAGTTGGGAAAAATCCAGGTGCAGAAAATCTCATTGTCTCAAGAAATCCCCAATGTTGATTTCACAATGGGCATGCATGAAATAATGCCACCCGTACAGGGAGGGATTTTTTACTTTTTGACCAAAAGTTTTCTGCAAGATTATAAAAAATATTGGAATTTTTCCTGACTAAGACTTTAGTTCAAAAATCACATTCTTTTAGTTTGCAGCCCTCATGGGAACAATATTTTCCCAAAATATCCCAACTTTATTGCACAATAAAGGGTTGAAAATGTTTTACAGACTTTGCATTTGTGGTTTCAACAACAGTCAAAATTGTGTTATTGGTGAAAAAAGTGTTTGGATTCTAGCATGGTGTTAAGGAAAGCTAAACTTGTAAAATGAACTTCTCAAAACCAGCTCGTTCACAGATCAAAATTTCATGAAAATGCTTTCTTATGGAATCAGTCAATATAGCTTCAGAAATTTGCTCAAGAGAATTCACAGTGGACTTTGAAAATATAAATAACTTCTATACCCCTCGCTTTTTTTAATTGGAAATTTCAAGAAATGTTCATATAGAAGAAACTTTCATCATTTTTTGTCTGACATATTTCTTGAGCAAATGGGTTGCTTTCAACTGGACTATTTGATTGAGCAAAAATTGTGATTTTTATTTGCTCAACATTTTCATATGATGGGTGCCAATGAAAATATGTTTTCAATTTGTGTCAGCAGTGCTTCTACCACAGAAGTGATGACACAAGTATATAAATAATTGATTCCTGCAATTATAGTCTTCTCACATGTGTTCTGCATCATTTTAGATGACATATATTTGTTATATAATTTATTCATAATACATTTTCTTCATATTTTATCTATATTTCATTCAGCTTGAATGTCTCCCATTCTTCTACAAAGAGAGGAATAATTTCTGATGGAAATAATTCTATCAGAAATTTTTTTTTGCTACACCTCAGATTTATTGTCACATTTCCTTAGTGCTACAAAATGTCCTGGGACCAATGATGGCACTAAATTGGGGGGTGACAGTACAGGGAGAATTTAACTTCATACCCTGAAACTCTGAGATGTACATGTAATTGGTGCATCAAGAGTGTTTGTGAGTCAAAATATCCCTACATTGAGTCTCATTTCCCCGTAGACTTATACCTTATGGGATATCATTAAAATTGGTGTTTTATGAAAGAAAAATTCATCAGAATTCCATGAAAGAAATTGCCAGCCAATTGAAATTGATTCAGTCAATATATCTTTTAACTCAGTGAGAACATTTGGAATATTTAATACTGCACCTCAGCTCAGTCCATTGAAATTTTGCCATCTGTAAAAATAACATTCAAGTCATAAAGAGAGAAGGAAGCCCCTCTGCTGGAGGTAGTTCTTTCAATTAGCTTAATTGGTGGCAAAACAATGGGAAAAGTGCCAAACACTTTTTGTTGGATAGAACTTAGGCTTGGAAATGCCTGTTTCTTGCAATTCAGTTTGATAAAAGCCACTTGTCCAAAAATGTTTTGCTAATTTTATTATGCAATGCCTGCCACATTGAGTGGGTGTCTGCATGTTGGGCCTTTTTCAATGGAAAATAAATATCATTCTGTCTAATATACCCCATTCTGAAATTTCTCCATGTAATATGGGGGTCTGATTGTAAATTAGTTAACATTAAAAAAAAGATTGGTACAGCAGTCATTGATGGACTTACAAAGAGCCTGAATGAAGACCGGAACAGCGAACACGGATGTCATCGTTAGTCGCGAGGATTTCCTCGTGAACGGAACTGCCATGCCGTCCATAGTACCGACGAATTCAGTACCAAAGTACTGGTGTTTCACGTAACGATGGATCACGACCCATGCGTGGTAAGCCGCGATGAGTGCGAATGAGATCCCGGGCATCGAGTGACCCAACACGTCACCCGGGTTCGCACTTGTGGGTCTCAGTTCCCCGGGTTCGTATACGGGCTGCGTGAGGCTCAAATTCACGTCACGTGCAGCTTCATCCTCCCGTGACAACATCATGAACCATTCAACACCCATTTTCTTGTTGTTGTGATGAAAATTTCCCAGCTTGTATCCCTGTTTTCAGTGGGAATAATTTAGCAATCTTTCTGAGAATGTGCCAAGATTGTCATGGGTCCATTGGATCCAATAATACAAAGGAATTGAATTGTGCAGCCATCAGAATATAATGAGAGTTTTGCATCAGAACTCAAACTCATTTCAAAGGAGTTCATTCTCATTAACAGCCTATAGGTAACAATCTGGGCAATGAGAATGAATTCCTCTGAAAATGGTTTGATTTTGTATTCAAAACTTGCATTCTGATGGCTGCCCAATTTAATTCCCTTGTCTGTGATCCAGTGGACCCATGACAAAGGTCACCAACAGCAACACTGAGTGATGCGATTTCTGGGTTATTGTTCTTTCACTGTATGGGAGACAAATACCAGACATAATGTAGGAGACCAGAATGTTTTTGTAGAATGAACTACAGTTCAACCTCTGTGAGTCAAATTTCAAGGGAACCAGAAAATAATTGACTTATATTAAAGAGGTTTTGACTTATTGGGGATTTCTGATTTTTGGAGTTTATTTCCAGTCAAGAAAACAAACACTTTTGTTGTGAGGAGAAGTGAAAAAAGGTGTGGAAAATTATAAATGAGGATATTCTGGGCCTAAACTTACTCCTTATAATGAGTTCACATTTTGCTGAACTTGGAAGCAGGGATTCATTTGCTCATTAGCCTTTCACTTCCTTTCAAGATGCATTGAATCATTTCATTCAATGATTTTCTCTTTCATATCTCAAGGAAATAATAACCAGACGTCCTCAGAAAATTTTGCTTACAGAGGTTTTAGAGAAAAAAGACTTTGAGTTTGGGACGTTTTTAATGCATATTGTGCCTAAGGGGGTACTTAAGACAGGAAACTTGAAAAAAATTCAACTCACCAAGAAATTTGACTTAGGGAGGCTTGACTTATTGAGGTTCACCTGTATTGTGGACTGTGGAAACACTGCTTTTCTTTTACTTTTATATATCTTCTATACAAAAATATTCATTGCATACTGCGCAGTAGAGTGTATTAGACAGCAGATTCCTTTTGTACTCCACGCAATTCCATCTTTCGGAAATGGTTATTTTTGGAAAGGGAAACTGTTTCTGCTTCGTAATCGAATGCGACAGAGGACGGTCTATATATGGAATTACTGCACCGATGTATGTAAAAGAAATCGAACAAAAAAGAACCTCAAAAAGTTTTGTATGCGTCACTGCTGCAACGTAATTTCTGCGCAAATGACGCATGCACAAGAGATATATTTGCATTGCTCATATTTTTTCTTCATTTATTTTATGTTCATGTTGAATAAAATTATGTGGTATGCAGAGGAATGTGTTGGAGGATTGCTTGGAAGGATCCAGACAAGAAAAAGGATTGAAAATGCATAATAGGCCATTTGAGCTAAGACCAAGTCTCCTTGAACAGTTTACTATAACGATCACAAGTTTTTTCAAAATTTGAATTTCACTTTCAGGAGTGATTGGACATCCAAACACTTCTGAAGCTTGACATGAAGTGAAGTTGGTTCTTTGGCTTTTGATGGATGCAGAGTTTCCTGGGAGGACTTGTTTGGTTTTCAGTTTTGCAGCAGGTTTTTTTTTCATGGACATCAAGGTACAGTTTTGTGGAGATATTTGATTCCTGCATACCTGTATTTGTGTTTGTGTTTGGTGGATTCGGCGACCTCTAGAGGTCCCTGGCAGTATGTTCAGTCAAACCCTGATTGAGTGCTATGGCTGTCCTGGCACATTTTGTGGGACTAAGCAGAGGGTGGCACTAAATTGAAGGTATTGTACCAAGACAATATTCTTTTTGGTGCTTTTACTGAAAGTAAAACAGGCCTTTTGCAGAATTCATGGACCATTATTGAACCTGTTAATTGTTTGGTGCAATGTTGATGATTTTTCTACCCATAATGCTTTTTGTGTGTGGGCTCTAATTATCAATATTTCCAAAGGCCAACACCAACATGCAGCAGCAGTGTGATAGGAGATTCCTTTGTTGTTGTGTTTTTTTTGTTGCTGATCCGCAATGAAAACACCAGCAATTGTTTCATAATTTTGTTTCAATGTTTCATTTCATGCTTTGAATTGATTGAATGTATTTGGGGGAGTTGGGTTGGGTGGGGAGGGGGTTGGGATGCAGGAGTTCTGGTTATGCCTTGTGAATGCTGAAAAGTGGCAAATAAAGTTTTCTGTTCATTCATTCATTCATAATTTTTGAGACTGCTTGAATTAATTCCAAAGAGTGTTGCAAAAATACCAAACTTTTTTAACTTGCATAGCTCTATTTATCATTATTTGCTTAATTATATGCCACCTATAAAAGAATAATTAAATACATAGCATGAGCTGAAGAGCCAAAATCAAGAAAAAAATCCAATTCCTGCAGAAAACATCAGTTAATGTTCTCTGGCTTTTTTTCTGCATCCCTGCCATAGGATCACCATCAAGGGATTATGAAAACAATGCTTTTCATTTTCCTGGATTTTCCCAAACTTTGCAACTAAGCCAAATCTGCATTTCAGTGAGGTATGGTCAAACTGGAATGCAGAAGCAAGAAAAAATTTCCCAGCACTGCCTCACCATGGAGAAGGACCTGCTGTCATCCAAGGGTTAAAGGATTTCATGTACGCTTTTAAATATACAGTATTGAATCACATCCTAGTTAGATATCAACTTTTATTTGCAGTATCCACGGGAATGTTCCAAATGAAGGTCATTAATCAAGAAAAAACACCTCTAATACACTCAAAATCATTGGAGGCAAGCAAGGTGGGGATTATGCATTTCATGAGGAATAACAACTTGTCCATGAAATGGTTCACCCCTACTTTTCAGCAGGTACCAGCAGAAATCTATGTGGGCTAATCAAGGAGAGTTTCGAAAAAAATACCCAAGCTCCAAGCTTGATTTACAAATTTCTGGTGGAAGCCCAAAAAAAGTATTTTCAACCTTTGGAGTGCATCAGACCATCTGCCTCCACCTAAAAAATCTTCTGCTGCACAAGAAAATAAAAAAGAACAGGTTCAGTGAATATAATCCAGCAAATTTCATGATGTCTAAAAGATATTCTATACAGCAAAAAAACACATTGTTCATTAAAACTTGAATCAAGGCAACACCATGTTCAATGCATTCCAGGAAATAAAAAAGGAACCACAGTAGAGAAGAGCTTTGTCAAAAGTCAAAGCATTCAGAAAACATTGCAGCATTCTGTTTTCTTGCGCTTTGCATGTTTTGCATTCACTATATTCTTACTTTCGGCAATATCTGTTATAATCGCTCTACATCTACAATCAATATCTTCATCATGAATCAATGTCCTCCCATTTTATGTTCGCGATTCAATTGATTTATATTTGGCCTCTTTGTATTATGCAACAATTCCATAAGCAGCTTTATGTGTGTGATCATCTCGTTAATTAAATGAAGTCAAACTTGTCCGGAGATTTCAATGTGTCAGAAAGAAGAAAATCGCAAGCTATAAAATAAGAAAATCTTATAATCTCCATATGAGAGGAAGAAAATCTCAAGATTGGCTGCAACATCTCAAAATTTTCTTCTGCTCATTTTATGTAAATCTATTTTGGTTTTATATATCTAGGCATTTAGACAGTTTTGTGAATTCTTTTCATTCTGGATCCACCGCCTCAACAGTCAGACGACTTGACCTGAAAAATTGCGTCACTATACAAGGGATATTTGAGCATATTTATCTTCATCAGAGTTTTCCGGCAGACTAAGAAATGAAAAAAACTTTGAAGTTTTATGTATCACATGAAAAAAATGAAAAAAGTGAGATTTCTTGTTATTTTATTTGGAAGTGGGGCATATTTTTATGCTATAGTATATTTCAAAAATTGTAACACGGTAATATCTTGTGTGAAAAAACTTGTACGGACATCAGAAAAAGTTTGTTGTAAAGCAAATACTTTTTTATAACAAAATTTTCACAATTATTGACTGGGATAGTGGGATGATTGTTTTACATTGAACCTGCACATATTCAAGACCTTCCTTTTGTGGCCTTTTCAGACATTTGAAAGATTGATTTGAAAAATGAAATTCAAATACCAAAAGCAAGCATGTACTCTGAATAACAGGTACACACTATAGATTTTTTTGTCGACTCCGTTTTTCTTAGGAACTTTTCCACAGATTTGTAAGGTTGGATGTTCCAAATAAACTCACAGTTGTTGAGCATTAATGGGGGTTTTCAAACATTCAAACTCCAAACCAGTCATGCTCCCTTTCTTAAAACAAGTTTTGCTGGGTTCATTTTTTTTTCTAAGCCCCCCACTTTACTAAACCACAAACATTTTTGGAAAGAGAGGATGTTCCAGTGAATTTTGAAGAATTTTTTATTGTCTCTGTCTTCCAGCTATGTCCCTATAAGAACAATTATTCACGTTCAAATTTTGAATGGGAAATTTGAGACTGTGGACTGTGTCTGTTTTCATTGGAGTTTTTTTACTATTGATAAAATCACTGCATGTTCCTCAGAAAAAGTTAGTTATCTTGGAATTGCCCAGTGAGCACGAAAATGTCCATTTTGGGTCCAATTTTCATCCAAAGCAACTTATCTGAGAATCTTGACAAAAATGGACATGTTTTGGACAAGTTGCTTTGGATGAAAATTGGACAACATGTCCAATTCTGATCCAAAAGTCATCCAAAAGTGTCATCCTATTTTTGATCCAAAACTTGTCTGTTTTTGATCCAAAAGTCATCCAAAAGTGGATGACTTTTGGATCAAAAACAGACAAGTTTTGGATCAAAAATAGACAAGTTTTGGAGGGATTTGGGACATCTTTTGGGTAAAGATGGGACCAATTTTTATCCGAAAGATGTCCCAATTTCCTCTAAAACTTTTCTTTTTCTTTTTTAATTCTGCTAAATTGTAATAAAATTTTTCACTCACCTGGGAATTTCACATGCATAGCAATTATTGCTTCATGCTCTGTATAGCTCTGCTAGATGCTTTATTGATATTTAAATTGCATTGCACCTATT